GCATAGTTTTATTTGTCATAGCTCAGACAAATACTCTACATATATTACTGTTGTTGAGCTACATTGCCATGGAAGCTTTAGAAACCATAAGATGAGTCAGTTGAATTCATCACAGTTTCTTTTTAGGTAAAAGTGATGTACATTCTAACAAAGACAGTAAACTCTTTGAAAGTAAAACATTTTCCAATTTGTATATCATTACTAATGCAAGTAAAATTATATCTGACAGTTAAGTTAAAATAATGGGAAATGAATTATGTGAGCGGAAATAACGCTATTATTAAAAAATAAAAAAAAAAAAACACAACAACAACACAGTGTAGGAAAGGTATAGAAATCTGTACACTAAAGGGTCCAATGTTATTTAACTTGAGCTAAAAATCTTTTTTTTTTTTTTTTTTTTATGGACTTTGCTATTTTTCACGTAATTTAATTCAATTCTATGCAGAGAGCAGAAGGCAGGACTGCTGAGAATTCAAGTGAAGCCAGCCACAAACTGGAGCTGTTGAGAGACAGCAAAAAGTTTATGAAAATGGTAATCTCAAGTGTCTTCTGCCATTTCAGGTTAATCAGATTGAACAGTCTGGTGCCCCTGAAATTGAACTATAAACCAGGTCATATCTCAGATCTCTGTCCTTTTCTATCTTGTAGTTTCATGGAAGTCTGTAACCAACAAACAAACCTACAGTTCACCTTGTAACTTTTAACAGATATGCCTGTGGTCCTTTTCTGTTAACAGAGATATTGGCATTGCAACAGTTCCTCTGTTGGTTTTGGGGAGTTCTTTGGAGGTGCTTTGGAAAATTGAGCTCAGTTGAAAGGCATGCTAAAGGTTATGAATTCTCACTCCTTCTCAAGATTGGCCAAATTCTTCTCCAGGGTGCAGAAAAATATCATTCCATGTAGCAAGAAGTAGTAGTACTTTGAATGCTAAGCATACCTTTATTCTTTTGTAGAATAAGTTTAGCGGAGCTGCAGCGAAAGCTCACTGATGGTACATGTTAAGGAGGGAGCCTCCCTCTAGCTGAGTCTGTGGGAGCTGCACTAGCCTCCTGTCTGCTGGAGACAACTATTTGGACATCTAACATGCTATTAAAATGCTCATGAGCACATTTTATAAGTTTTAGAGCTTTTTAAGTGTTATAACAACTTGACACAGTATGAATGAACATAGTTGTAATGGTAGCTGGTGTTGAGCTCATTCAGCTGGACTAGTACAATCCACAGCTCTCATTGTTCTCAGCTTTGGAAATTCAGAACATCCATTAAGTGCCAAAAACCTAAGGATACTTAACGTTGATACTTAGTTGGACTGGTGGATGTGCTGTGGTAGCTGTGTGTTGCTTCTGTGCATCTGGACTTTTGCACGTCAGTTCACTGGATTCACAGTATGACACTGTGATGCTGCAAACTTGGCTGCTGCATCAGCACATTGTTGCATGGGTGGAGAGGCTTCAGCTCTCTCATTGTAGTGCTTATATGGGATTGATTGCTGTTGATGATGAGTTACATGAAAGGAGCAGTGCAGATTCAGAGTCTCTACTGCATCTGTCTTACAGTGATCTAGACCAAAATATTCAATAGCATGTGGCAGCCACCAATCATCCTGTGTTTTGTCAGCATGCATATTTGCAAAATTAGAGGAAGACTTCCTGCTGTGGACTACTACATTGAAACAATGGTCACTACTGAACTTTCACTGAATATTAATTTCTGCTGTGACTTTGTAAACACACTTAACAAAAGGTGCCCATGCTACCTTGAGGTATTGATTGTAATGTAGATCTGCTGCTGCTTAGCTTTGTCAGCTCTTCCTATAAAAAATGTCTGATATGCATTTCAGTGTCATGATGTGAATTGCGCTTTTTCTGAAGGCAGGTGCTTTCATTTGACTTTCAGGATAAAGCCTGCTGGCGGTAACTCTTAGCACTTTACAATCAAATGTGCTTTTTCTTGTTTGAACTATTCTACAATGTTGATTAGATTAAAGGTCAAATTTAGCAGTCTCTTCCCATAAACTGGGGTAAGCCCTTCTGATATGAACAAGATTGGATTTAACTAGTGGAAGAATTGGATCCTATAATCTTGCTCAAGAGAGAAGTCAAAAGGTTGAAGTCCACTTAAGGTTCATGTTATCGTCAGAAACGCAAATAAAGGAGGTAGGAGTCACGAGGCTGAATGATGAATGACAGGACAGCATCCTGGCTACTCCCAAGTGATGGTATGTGGAAATCCTAGAGGGTACTTTCAGGCACCAAATCTAGGGGTATCATAAATTAGTTAGCTCACCAAACCAGTGTGTTAAACAAGCAGCTCTCCACAGTGTGTGGGATCAGAGCATTATGAAGTCTTATCAAGATACTTCTTGAGCACCAGACTGGAGAGGGCAAATAAGACATCATGTATTTGTACCTTTTTCCCATGCAGTGGTTCCATTGACTGCAATCCCAAAATGCATGATTTACATTTAAGCATCATCGAGCATTACATGTCATTGTTCCACTATTTTATGTTGAAGAGTATTAAAACTACAATATTGTAGGTTCAATTAATAAATGAAACTTCATCTTCATCATGTGTTAGTAGTAGGCATCACATATTTCCTTATTAATTGTCTTCTTAGGGAACCCGTGACAGTGAAATCAGTAGATTTACATTTTATTAAGCTTGCAGAGATATTTGGAAAATCCTTTTAAATGACAGGATGCTTCAGTTACAGTCATGGCTTGAGGAACAGTGAAATAACCTTTGAAATCTGGTTCACTTGGACAGCTTGTAATGACAGACTTTTTGTCAGTTAGCATTATATATCTGATAAGATTCTGACTTGAAATCTATGCAAAACTGAAATGAGCTGGTGTTCCTATTGATCATTGCGTACATGGTCGATACAAACTACCAAATTAATGGATTGCAAAATAATATGCTCTTGACAGTAGTACTCCAAACTCACTATAACTTGATCATTATAGGAAAGCACAGAGCTGTGCAATAGAATTAATACTGTTAACACTCAGCTCCTAAGAAAGGGTTATGAAATCCAAAGAAATATTTAAAGTGTTTTTTTGTTTGTTTGTTTGTTTTGTTTTTTTAAGGAGTGTTGAAATTCTCATTCCTGTGCCTTTCTATTTGTGCACTTTCACCTCTGTGGGAGTAGCAGCTAAGGAAGTGCAGCTGAAGCCCAAAGGATTAATGAAAGGGAGGGAGAGGCAATTCCCTTTTCTCTTTGAGTGTGTTGGTGTCTTTCCTCAAAACATGTGATGAATGTGAAAGCTATAAAGACTAAGTGAGAAGCTAAGAAGCTGGGACTTGAGAGGAAGAGCTACTTCCCAAAAGGACAGTAAAAGCAGGAATGCAGTGTCAGTGAAGCTGCTGCAAGCAAATAATAGAATAGAATTACTTTTTTTTTTTTTTTTTTTTTTTTTGTGAAGATACAAAATAAAAGCAGGGCACCATTGGTAAAAGCAGGACAGTAGACTTAAAATTGGAAAAAGAAAAGAAATAAAAGCAAGCCAGAGGTTACATCCTGTCCATAAATTTCATATGTTCTTTCAGCCATTTTGAAGTGATTTTTGCTCCAGTAAAACAATAGTCCAAAGGACTGAAGACTTTTCCATATTAATGGAAACTTCACTGAAGTTAAAAGAAATTCAGTATGAAATTCTTACTTAATGACTCATCATATTTGGTCATTTCATTAGCCCTCAAAATGAGGGAAAATCTGAGAGTCTGCTTGTTGTCATCTTTTTAGTCTCCTAAAATGAGTAGAGATTTTTTTTTTTTTTTTTACTTATCTGGTTCTACAAAAGATAGTGGCCATATCATGCTTCAATGTGCAACTTGAAACTCTGATTTATACACTCAGTTCTGAGTGAAAGGCACTGGCAGTACTGCTATTCCTTTAGTTCCTGGTCTCTCGCTGTTTTCCTACTGGCTGCTAAAAATTGAGATGGGCTGAAGAACTTGGTTTGCAGTGACTGTCCAGATAGCTGAAGAGACCACAATGGCAAAAAAAAAAAGAGTGTCAGACCCAGCCAGGCCTGGGACCTGCAGCAATGATGCTCCCTCAGCAGGGTCCAGACTAATTAATGTCCAAAGGTGAAATTTGTGGGAGGGATATCTTTTAAATTTTTGTTTATTTGTTTGTTGCACCTAAAACAATGAGGACATAAAAAAAAAAAAAAAAAAAAAAAAAAAAAAAAAAAAAAAAAAAGATCAAGCACAGAAGTGCATGAAAACCAAGTTAGGTTTCCCTTAATTCCCACCTCTTTTCAGCCACAGTTGCAGTGATCCTTGCATAGTAATGTTAACTGGTTTCCCCGTGCCTGCAGGCATGTTACCTCTGCAATTTACTCTTTAAGAATGAAAGTTTGAGTTGACTTTGCTGAGAGATGGACTCCCAGTTCCAGGAAGAAGTCTTGATGTTCTCTCAGCCCAAAGGTTAAGGCTCTAATCCATCCCCTGGAGCTAAAACAAAACAATGATAAATTTTCCCACTACTTACAGAACATAATTGTTGTCAGAATATTTTGAAATGAATAAAGGTTACAGTTAAAATTTCCATTCACTTCTCTTCCCTATTGGCGTGGTTGCTGCCATTGTTCTGATTTTGTCAGTACAAAATTATTCTGTAAAAACATCTTACGTCAGGACACTAAATGATTACTGCTATTCACAGCTTGGGGAAACACCATCCTCCTCCTCCCTAGCATGGTGATAGTAGTCACTGCATCTGGACTTATTGCCAGTCTTTAAGTTCCATTCAGAGTAGTTAAAAGTGCCCTATCTACCCACAAAGGGTGAAGAATGCATGAATATGTATACTCATAAAAGTTTCTCATGGGTTCCCTTTGTCTGTTACTTTGAGTGAAAACTGAATTTATAAGGTCCATTTAAAGAAATTATAGAAGAAATTACTTAGATGGTGTCTAAACATCGTTCCAAGTGTCTCTGGATTACTGTTTCATGTAAGAACTTTTCTTTTTTTTTCCTCTATTCAGATTTTCCTGTCTTTTGTATCATGGTGCTAAGGATACTGATTAAGTCATTAAACTTCTGGGCCCGGGGAGGAAGTGAACTCTACTGTGAAGATGCAGAGGAATATCAGAGTTCCTGCATTCTCAAGCATAGACCAGGTCAGTACGAGGATAGTAGCAGTAGATGGTAGTATAGCAAGAAGCCTAATTAGCAGATCTACAGTCTCCAGATTCCAGGGCTTTGTGTACCAAAATCAGCTTGGCAAAAAGTTTTCTCGTAAGCCAAAACTTTTGCTACACTTCTTTCATGCACCCATTCTTGCCTTTATGTGGATTTATTGATTTGTAATGATTGAGTTTAATTTTAAACAGAGAAAGGAAGAACAAAGATTTAGAAAATGGGATGGTTTGCATTCTTCAGGACTGAGAAAGCACGGTCAGAACATAATTTCTCTTTGATTTTGGTGAGCAGTTTTGCTGGCTGTAGAACTGACTCAGCCTTGGAACTTTGTTTAAAATTGCCTTTTAGGAATATTTCAACTTTTTGTTTTGTTTTGTTTTTATTTTCCAAAGAGGTGTTTTAAATACTGTGTGGTTTAGTCAGAATAATGGAAAATTTGAGTATCTGTCAGTGTGCAAAGGATATGTGTAGCTGTCTTGGTCCAAGAGTATAAACTGCCAATTTAAAACATTACAGATAACATGATATCTTTTACTGAACAAAGAATAATTCATCTGATCTTTAATAATACATCCAGAAGAGGAATTTCTGGGTCTTGAAGCTTAAATGCTCTAAAATATTCCCATTCCAATAAAAAGTATCACATCTACCTTGTCTACTTAAACACATGTTCAAAATGATGGATTGGTGGCTATTTTGGGTGCATTTTTACTGTGGTGTTATCTTAAGTCTCATTCAACTTACGCAACTGTTTGCAAAGTTATAAACGTGCAGCCTTTATATGCCAAAATGAATCACAATCCCTCTTCTCTCTTTGCTCTAGTCACACTTTCAAAAGAAATGTAATTTAGACAGAGTGTTGCATGAATGTATTCTTGGTTTATTTTTATTATATTTTATTTTTGTTAGCTATAGTACTTTTGTCAGCTAAAATACTTTCAAGAAATGAACACAGATTTTGATGAATTTCATGGGGGGAGGGGGGGAACAGGTGAAAAGTAGATACAGGCCTCTATAAAGCAACTGTCATTGAAAGTGTGATATCTGTGGAGATATACCAAGGTCATTTTTGTGTAGAGGAAAGACTGTGTTAACAATCACTAAAATTATCAATCATAATGTGATTGATAGCATTTGCAGGTTCCAATGCTTTAATTGCAGTCTTTTTATTGTTTGTATTGCCAGTTAGCTGGATATGTAGAGATGTATAATAATAAATCTGGCCCACAAAGCTTACTGTGATTGCACGTAACCTACAAGCCCGTTCCACCTTGAGTAGAAGCTCAAGGCATGAGGAAATAAAAGGAGCAGAAATAAAACAGAAATAACTATTGTAGAAAGTTAGTACCTTGGTTTGTACCTTGATGCTTTTACATGTCAGTATTTCCAGGGACTGGGTCTTCAAAGGCAGTTAGATGCTTAAATGCAGTAACAGATTACAGTTACCAATTATCTGGTCTTTCATCCTCGAATAGCCTCACTGAAGTAAGAGGATAATATTGCCTTCTGAATAGAAATGGAATAAAAATAGGAGTTATCTTCCTAAGAAATTACATAAAATAATAAAATTCTCTCCCTGAGGACCTAGCTGACAAATGTGTGACATGCAGGTCAGTGCCTAGTGTTACCGTTTGGAGGAATAAAAAGTAAAATAGAAGATGTGTTCACCTTAGCTAACTTGGATTCATAGAGAGCTTGCACAAAGTATGCAAATTGGTCTCCATTACACTAACTGCATTGTCACAAGCAGAACTACTACTGCAATTTCTCTTGAGAACTCACTGGGGAAGAAGTTTGAAACTGCTGCCAGGCCTTCCTTGGAGCACTTCTAGATAGGGTATGTCCAGGAGATGTACAGTATCAGAACATCTGGCCTCTTTGTGGGCTATGGCATCTGGCTCTGGGACTTCTGGAAGAGCAAAGCTTGCAATGAGCTTTTGTCAGCTCATGATCACAGCAACTCTGTGAAGAACCTTTATAAGGTGTCTTATTTTCTTTCATCTGAAGATCTCAGAGTACTTGTGGATCTGAAGTTTCTTCTGGGAAAAAATAAAAACAAAAAAAATAAAAGCTGTTCTCCTGCTGAAGAAGAAAATAGAATTGTGAAGTCTGAGTGTTTACTATAACTATTAACAGAAAGTTAGAGAGAAACAACTTGCAGGTAGATTTTTTTTTTTTCTTTTTGCAAATTTCAATGAAAATGTTAGCAACTGTGCTCCAGGAGCCTTGTGCATCCAGAAGGGTTCAGACACACTGCACTCTTTTCTTTGCTCTTTGATAATGAACTTCTGAAGTATTTCTTCTGGTTTAAAAGTGCTTGAATAGGGAGAGATGTGTACTTCTAACTACTTTTTGGTTAATTCTGTAGAAGCAATTAATCTTTGACATCCTCAGGAGGTGCTTCAAAGTGTAACATGCAATGATCCTGTAGTGCACCTCTGTAGGATAGCAGTGCATGTGTTGCTATGCAGGAGACATTTCTAGGAAGCAAAGAAGAATCAGAAGCTGTGAGGAGTAGAGGAAGCCTGTAGCAAAGATGAAACTCAGGCAAAAAAAAAAATCAGGAACAGTCCAGGAACAGCCACATATGTCAAAAGTCTGCTAATGTCTGCAAGAGAGCCTGAAGTTAGTAACTGGGCAAACCCCGAATAAAGCTGAGATCAGGTATGGCAGGAGTAAAGTGGGACGTCAACTATCAGTTTCAGCATTCCTGCTCATAGCAGAGAAGAAAGAGCTTAACTGCTGAGCAAGAAGCCAAGTTTGTGATGTGTAAGGAAAAACAGCTGCCACAAAACTGCTAGTTTCATGGTTATCATCTGTGCTGCTTGCTTCTGGGCTTCTTTAGGTGAGGAATCTGTAGGGCACCCCTACATATGTGAGGAGGGAGCAGACACTGCAGCAAGATTTCAGTTTGGCAGCCTGAACGTTTGTAGGTTTTGTGAGACTGGGGAAAAGAGTCTGTCTTTAAAACCATCTACTTCCACCTACATTTATTCTGGCTCCTCTCACTTATCCATTCCTAGATAAATTCTTTTAAACATGGTGCCAAAACAGCAAGGTGCAGGTCAATTTTTGCAAGCTGCCTGAATGACTCACCTCATTTCTCAGATTACTGACTAAATATATATTTAAAAAAAAAAAAATCCTAGTGGGATTGAAAGCATTTGGCAAGTCTTCCTGCAGAGCAATTCTTTGACAGTGGCTGTCAGGACAGATGTATGATGGGCTCTGCTAAATGCCAGAAGGTGTAACAGCAGTTAGGCCTACTGTGCTGGGGAAGAAGCATTGCAGCACACGCTTCCCAGGTGACAGTGCTGTCGTAACTCTGCCAGACAAGCACGAAGTACAGGAGCCAAGGTGTGCAGCAATTTTGGAGTTTCCAACTAAGGCTGTGGGGGCTCCCCTCGCACAGGAGGATTTGGGAGATGATCCTAGAGAATGTAAGTGTGAAGTATGAGAGGCTGGTGGATCCACTGGGAAGCCTCGCTCAAAGGGAGATAAGAGCGATAGGGTCTATTAATGCACCCAGTGACCCTGGAGCATGCACAGCACACTGTATACCACACCTGGCTCTAGAACAATGACTGCTGGAGATTCCTAGCCTATGTGGGCAAACCTCATTATTTCTGTGGGACCTGAGCAATGATGAGAAGGGTTTTGTGAAGCCTGTCCTCAGACTGGTCACTGGAAGAGCTGGAAAGTGCCCAGTTATGCTAGGCACCCTTAAATGCAAGATATTTTTGAGAATACTTTTAAGATGAAAGGCAGTTCAATGGCTACCTATCTGGCCCTGCATCTGCTTACTGCAGATAGCTCCCATCATTCCTTTTGAAGAGGTAGGCCTATAAAGCATGAGTCTGAAATCATAATGGAGGTGGCTTGGGTTCAGTTAGAGGGAATCAGGTTGGTGAACAAAGCTCTGTCAGTACATAAATGACAAAGCTGACCTGGAGCTCCTTCACTGCTGACTGCACTAGCCCTTTCCTGTAAAGACATGCAGTAGAGGGCACTAGTATGTTAATTTGTATCTGATCATGCTATTTATTGATGAATACCGTATTAGACAATATAGTGAGAGCTAAAGGCTAATTAACAGTATAGTGTACTATTAGAATATGTGTTATTATTTACAGAAATAGGTTGATTACTCACAAGTGAATAATTGATTGTCATCTCTGGTGTGCAACCTTATTCTGAACTTATTATGAACTTATTCTGAAATTATGGCTGAATTTCTTAATAAAGCTCTGTGGAGAAACAGGGATTTCAGTGAGCTGATATGAACATTTCGGCTAGCTTACACATTGAAATCGCTGAGCTCTCAGCGACAGGTGTGGGCACAATTCAATTAAGACATCTGAGGAAAAGATTCTGCTAGGTAGAATGTTCTTGTATGTAATTTTAGGATAGTTCTAGAGAGCAAAATACAGGACAAAAGGCTACTCAGTTGTTCCAGTAAGTATGCAAAATTTACTAAATTTACTATCTATTAAGGATAAAGGATGTAGCTGATGGATGAGAAGTCATACCTTGTTTGATATACTTTTAAAGAAGCAACCCAACTGGAGTCTCCTAAGCTGCAAATACTTCAGTCAGGTTGCTTGGAGGAAAGCATGTCAGAAAGTTGGCTGGCTAACAGAATTGTGTGATACAATGTCATGAAAAGTATGATACAGGTCGGTGATTCACATTCAGCAGTTCTTTGATAGCTGGATTTTCCATTGTTTCAGGATGGTTTTGAATATTTGTGAAATAGGTTTGCTAGCCTATTTTGCTGTAAATGTGCCCAGGTTTCAGCAATTCTGTAATAAACACCATTTCCTACAAATAAAAAAATGAGCAAATAAGGTTCCTGTTCATTATATGTCTCTGCAAGGGCAACATTCAAAATAATCCAGACAGTTTGCTCTTAAACAGATCCTTCTTGCCCAGAATTGTAATATGCTGATCTAGGATGGGAAAGTTCCACCTGGCTATT